CCTCAGGCAAATCTATCCCCTAGAATACTTTGGTCAAGGCTGTAGAATACTTTGGTCAAGGCTGTAGTGAACTCTTCTTTACTAGGAGAGCATACTTTCCTCAGCCAAATCTATCCCCTAGAATACTTTGGTCATGGCTGTAGTTAACTCTTCTTTACTAGCAGAGCATACTTTCCTCAGGCAAATCTATCCCCTAGAATACTTTGGTCAAGTTTGTAGTTATATCTTGTTTACTAGCAGAGCATACTTTCCTCAGGCAAATCAGTGGCATGAGGATACTTGGTCAAGGCTGTAGTTAACTCTTCTTTACTAGCAGGGCATACTTTCCTCAGGCAAATCAGTGGCATGAGAATACTTTGGTCAAGGCTGTAGTTAACTCTTCTTTACTAGCAGAGCATACTTTCCTCAGGCAAATCAGTGGCATGAGGATACTTTGGTCAAGGCTGTAGTTAACTCTTCTTTACTAGCAGAGCATACTTTCCTCAGGCAAATCTATCCCCTAGAATACTTTGGTCAAGGCTGTAGTTAACTCTTCTTTACTAGCAGGGCATACTTTCCTCAGGCAAATCAGTGGCATGAGGATATTTCGGTCAAGGCTGTACTTAACTCTTCTTTACTAGCAGTGCATACTTTCCTCAGGCAAATCTATCCCCTAGAATACTTAGGTCAAGGCTGTAGTTAACTCTTCTTTACTAGCAGGGCATACTTTCGTCAGGCAATTCTATCTTCAAGAATTATTCAGTCAAGGCTGTAGTTAACTCTTGTTTACTAGCAGAGCATACTTTCCTCAGGCAAATCAGTGGCATGAGGATACTTTGGTCTAGGCTGTAGTTAACTCTTCTTTACTAGCAGAGCATACTTTCCTCAGGCAAATCTATCCCCTAGAATACTTTGGTCAAGGCTGTAGTTAACTCTTCTTTACTAGCAGAGCATACTTTCCTCAGGCAAATCTATCCCCTAGAATACTTTGGTCAAGGCTGTAGAATACTTTGATCAAGGCTGTAGTGAACTCTTCTTTACTAGGAGAGCATACTTTCCTCAGCCAAATCTATCCCCTAGAATACTTTGGTCAAGGCTGTAGTTAACTCTTCTTTACTAGCAGAGCATACTTTCCTCAGGCAAATCTATCCCCTAGAATACTTTGGTCAAGGCTGTAGTTATATCTTGTTTACTAGCAGAGCATACTTTCCTCAGGCAAATCAGTGGCATGAGGATACTTTGGTCAAGGCTGTAGTTAACTCTTCTTTACTAGCAGAGCATACTTTCCTCAGGCAAATCAGTGGCATGAGGATACTTTGGTCAAGGCTGTAGTTAACTCTTCTTTACTAGCAGATCATACTTTCCTCAGGCAAATCATTGGCATGAGAATACTTTGTTCAAGATTGTATTTGAGGCCAGGACTCCAGATAATTTGTCAACATCAGGAGTACGTGCTCCTCATTTATTCAATACAGGAGTACTGGAAAATTTTAGAGTACATTTAGAGTACTTAATGGAATTTATTGGATTGATTAGAATAGATACATTACTGTATATTGCAACCGTATATATCAATTCATGACAATATTAATGTCACGTTACCTGTAGACTTGAGTGAAACAAAAAAAACTGAAATTACATATCACCATCTTTACAGTAGAAGGTGAAACTCTCAATGTTTATCATAATAAAACCAAGACTGTCCGTATGTTTTTCTCATTCCCATTTCCTGTGACCTGACTTTTCATTCAAACATGAAATAATTAAAAGTTTTCTAATCTCAATTTTCCTGCTACTGTGGAAACTTATGTCCTAATGTGACTAATAAAGTCTCTTACCATTGAACTTACAAGTAGACAGGTCATCTTGATCTTCCTTCATCTACACATATTAGAAGATTGTTCTGAAGGAAAATGATTCAGTCTGCATTATAAATTAATCTAAAGGCTATAACCTAATGATCTAAGTTTACAATCTTATAAAGTAAGTTGCACAGTTTGTGAAAAACATCTTCTTTTTTTTCTTTGTACTTTTTGCCTCCCTGCTCTCATGCTTGTTGAGGTTTGAGATGAGAAACATAAAAAAGTGTGAACAGCCCAATTCTAAATCAGAACGTCAAGACATGTTAAAAGAAGAAAACTTATTTGTTTTAGGGCTTAACTGTGGGGACATAAAGAGGTATGCCCATAAAATGCATTGGACAAATTACACCATGAACATTTTAAGGGACTGAATAAATTATGATACTTTTAAATCCCACAGCATAATCCCGTCCACGGGATCACATGGTTGCTGAGTTGCATCTTTCAATGTTAAGGATAATCAAAATAAATAAATTAGTTCAATCATTTCACTGAACATCAAAGAAACTAACTAAATGAAACAAAATTGTAAAACATATGATCAGACTGTGACATGAACAAAACAACGCATTGTTGAATTTATCCCATTCACCAACACAGAGAATTATTGCTATTGCCAGTCATATTTCAACAGATTTTGGCGTGGGGTACTATTATGCATATATGCCTCTGGTCTGCACATTATAGTGGGTTATATTCATCTATATTTTTGCTAAAACTATGAAAAGTTTTCCTGCTGTGTGCATGTGTTAACTTCCTTTCTGGTATAATCCTTTAAAAATGAAGGGTATAATTCAAATCAGCTGTTCAGCGATTCTGACTTTGGCTGGCCAGTTGAACATATACCAAAGTGAAAGGTTGTGTTTTGGGAAAAGGCCAGAGCAAACGGTATGTCATGTCTTCAGTTTTGCATTAGGTTGATATTGTTCAGTTCATGCTGTCATCAATGGAGGTGATCATCAAATCATATTAAATTACTTTTACTTTAAAATTTAAATCTACTTTAAATGAAAAATAAACATGCTTCAAATTGGCAGATTATTTAGTTCAGTGATGGTTTTGATGATTTTCTACACGGTTTCATCTGATATTGTCGTTGTAATATTCACCTACAAATACTTGTAAATGCAACAGTCGAATATCAACCAGTCTTTCTGTCTTTACCAGTGGCAAGTTTCAGATGCATATTCAGTTTGTAAATGGTAGGAGTTTCATCCTCTGAACAGCTGTAAATTATATCACTGACTCATCGCAGTGAGTGCAGCTGACTGTTTGCTTGGCTCCCCTACAGAAATGTCGCAAATATTTATTTTTTCTCATTTGATTTTCTTTTATGTTGGTTTTGTAAACCTAATGACAAGAACTAAAAGTCCAGAACTCAAACGCCAAACAGACGTTAAATTATAGTCACAGTAGTAAAAACTGATATTGAAATTCAGACTATTGTGAATTTCATGAAAATAAGTCTTTTTTTTTTATCGATGCCCTAAAATGAACACGATACTTGCCCAAAATTCCCATGCTGTCCTTCACTTTCCATAATCCAGTGTATAACAGGTCCTAAACAGCATGCTGGTTATATGAAGTGACAACAGTTGGCAGGGGCGGATACAGCTTTTTGAGAAAGGAGGGGTGCACTCTATTGAGAAAAGGAGGGGTGCACATTTCATTTTCACCCGAGTTCCAATGGTCATTTAACAAACTTTCAGCACCAAAGGGGGGGTGCGCACCTCTGCACCCCTCCTCTGGATCCGCCTATGGTTGGGATCATGTGGTCGGGCCTGGTGTCCCATTTGACTGAATGTCATATCCCATTAACATGGACCATTGCTCAGAATATCTGTCACTTGATTGTCTGGTCCAGTCTACATTAGCTGTAAACCACTATCATATAACTGAAGAAAAGTAAATTATAAGAGAAGTAATTACCGTGGGATGAATTAAAATTTTGATTCTAAATTGCCTCAGTTTTTGGTTAGCATCTGTGCTAAAGGTTTTCATTGTTAGTTCATTCAAGGGAGATAATCGATTGAATTGACTTCAAGTGATATCTGTCAGTATTCGCTGATACATGTGCAGGACATCAGTTTCTGAGCTAAGTGAAGCATCAATATAGTTATGTTCTAAGTAGTAACAATGTATCAATTTGCCTACCACTTTCGATCTAGAAATACTGTTGACGTTGCACATATATCAAGTTTTGTTACAAGTCACACCAGATCATCTTTCTTATTTCTTTGTCTGATATGCAGCATATCATTAATAAATGTGAATTCTGTCACTAACACACTTTTACATAAACATCAATTTTAAACTTTTAATAGGAAATTTATTAAATAGGGCATAAATTTTGTTTGTTAGAATTGGTCTTCAGTAACCCATGTTTGTTGTAAGAGGCGACTAACAGGATCGGTGGTCAGGCTGGCTTACTTGATTGACACATGCCATCGTATCCCAATTGCGTAGATCGATGCTCATGCTGTTGATAACTGGTCCAGACTGGATTATTTACAGACCGTCGCCATATAGCTGGAATATTGTGTAGTGCGGCGTAAAACTCAACACACTCAAGTAAGAGTTGAGCAAAGTGATCAGGCGATGAGGCTCGATGATGTAGTTAATTGCACGTCATCATATGCAGACAGCATGGATTGCTTGCAATAACAATCACTGGATCTTCTGGTCCAGATTCAGTGATTCACAGGTCTCCTATATATAGCTCGAGTATTGCTGAGTGCTGTATCAAACATCAAACAAGGGGGCTGATAACATGCCATGGTCCTCTCAGATATTTAAAAAGACAACATTCAAACAAAATCAAGAAATATATTACAAAATTGTCACTTCACAGATCGTCATTTTATGTGAGCTCTTTGCCTGGTGGTAATTAAGGTGATGTCTTGTCTGCTATGTAATACAGCTGCTGATGTAGTCAAGTACACAATAACATATGATATATATATATATATGACCAGCTGGTGCATGGCTTGTAGTGTAGTGTGCTCACCGATGTCTCGCTTGTCTCGCATGTAGCTCGCATGTCAGTACAGTGTTATTATCACACCATGGGGTACATGTTCAGATAATGCTTCCACGAAGCAAGTCAGTTGGATCATGATTATCATTGTGAATAATTTGGCCAATTTGTTTCGTTACCAGGACTACAGTAATATGAATGGCTATGATGATGATGAGAGGATTTCCTCTCCCCCAAGACAGAGCACCCCTCCAAGATACGGCACCCCACGCCATACTCCCACCTCACGGAAACACTCCCAGGATCGCTTCTCCCCGGTTCGGTCCCCAGCCCAATCCCCCATTGGTGATAGTCAGGAAGAGGAAGAGGCAGCTCTGAAGATTCAATCCCATTTCCGTGGACACCAGGTCCGAAAACAAATGAACAAGGATGAAGATTACAAGGATCCAGATACTCGTGAGGATTCAGACACTCACAAGAAATTGGAATCTCGTGGCATTGACGATGATGTTTTGCAGCGTGAGAGAGAAGAAGCAGCCACAAGGATCCAGGCCCATTACCGTGGTTACCAAACCCGTAAGAATAAAATGGAGAGGAGAGTTGATAGTGTTATGTCGGCAGGAAGGAAGTCAGTAGCAAGCCAGTTGTCCCAGAGACAGGATTCCGACCTTGGGCAAAAGGAGGCCCGGCCACAACCATACAGGCAAGATACCGGGGATACAGAGACCGGAAGATGTTGAAGGGAACCCGATAATATTGTTGATTTACAGAGGTAGCTTCAGACTTTGATTACCATTTGTGCATTGTACAATTGATAATGGATTGTGGTTGTTGAATGTTTGAGATTCAGGCATGTATGTCAGATCGTCTTGTGTATGTTATACAGTATGCTTGTCATATGGACCCGTTTAGTTGGTGACCATTTGTCCTATGGACCATTTAGTTGTGACCTTTGTCCTGTGGACCCGTTTAGTAGGTGACTTGTGTATCTTGAGTGATGGTACAAATGTATCTTGGACATCAGTAGGTGTCTTTTAATGGAAAGATTTGATTAATTACTAGCTGAATTTGTTTTATGTTCTATTTCTCATCTGTGCTCGTTTAAGCAGAGTACTTTTCTTCCCCAGTGTACTAGCTTGTGGAGATGTTGTAGTAGCGTGCTAGTGTAGAGTCATCTCCGTGTCACACAGTAGTAGCGAGGGACATGCATGACCACCCCATTGCCTTGTCAGGTCACTCTATGTTACACTTACGCAGTATGGAAATGGTATTGTTTTGTTCAATGGTATTGTTTTGTACATGTTTCAGGGACAGAAATAGACACATTTGGATGACAGGGCAAGCTCACCAGTCGAAACCAGAGCAGGCTCTGTATTCCCAGCCATCAAGTCCCATAGATTATACTTTGAACAATGTGTCAAGTTTGTGCAAATCTGTAATTATTCATTGTACATCCAAGTTTTGCGTCATTTTTAAAGAAATGAAACTTTTGTTATTAAGCAACATTTAAGATGATTTACCTGTATTTAACCAGATGTTATAGCTTTTGTTCCATATTAAGTTAACTGTTGATTATTTTCTTCAATCAAATGGAAAAGGCATTTCTCTAAGTGGCATCATGTTTTTTGATTGACACATTCTATTTTAGGCTTAGTTGTTCTGGGGTTTTATTTTTCTGTTTTGTTGACCAAAACATTTAATGGGAAGTAAAGAAATTCATTTTGTTTCTCAATTTGTTGGTTTATTTGATTAGGACATAAGTACCTTGGGTTAGAGTAAGTTCAACTCATTTATCATTCAGTCAGAGGTGTATAAAAGTTGTCCATTGTACTCGACCAACTGTGATACCAATAGTTACAAACTGTTACTCGTACATAGCTGTGAAAATCTGCACTGTGATTGTCTTAAACTATTTTATTTTTTCTGTAAATTTCAATTTTTGTGCAGTGAGTCACATAACCCTGTCGTGCTCTCCATACATGAAATGCTCACTACCCATAGGCCTTATGTATTGTGTACATCATATAACAGATGTGCTACTAATGTGTGATTTTATATGCAGATATGGTCAAGTATTTTCAATTGGGAAAAAGAACATATCCAATTTATGTGGAATTTGTAAGAAGGAAAATATGCATGAAGGTTATTTGTGTTTGACTATTCATAGGGTCTTGTGGGCAAAATAGCTGTTTTTAAGGAAAATGAGCTTTTGTCATGTTTAAATTTTGCTTTTCTCAGGAAATCACTTCAGATATATGTTGTGTAAAAATATCTTAACTGGAAAGTTTCCTGCCACAAAGAGAAGGATTTAACCGATAATATATGGCCCATCCAAGTTGTTGTTTGTAGTGATTATTGAATGTGATAATCTGATGCTTGTTTTGTTGTTCAGTTGTCAAGTAGTACATAGTTTGTACATATGGCTTAGTGTTAATTTCACTTGTGGCTGTTTTCCCATTTCCAGAAGAAGTTGAAGTCATTATGTGTCATAAACGATAAACCATGAATCTTTTTTTCAAAAACTGGAATGGTTTAAAAAAACAAACAAAAAAACCCAATGTACATTGATGAGTATTTGTGTTGTGGAAATCAACCCTCCAAGGCCTTCTCTCGGTACATTCCAACAGGGCAGCCACAAGTACATGGACACCTAATTTGCAAAATATGCTCCTTCAGCATTTTGTACATATGGCCTATACATACTTGTGGTCAGCTGGATAATGCTGTGTTTATTGTCTGTGATACTTTTACCTTTATTTCAGTATTTATTTGTGGTTGTACAAGCATCTATATATTTGTTTTGTTTCTGTTCATACCAATTATCAAATCAAAAGTATTACGCTATCATATCCGTCCATTTCCCAGCTTTCCGTCCAAATCAAGATTTTTCCTGCCAAATATATATTTATATTTATCTGTAAACCAGTCATTAACAGTCCTGATCAAACTTGCGATGATGCACTAACAAATATCTCATGTTTTGAACCTACTGATTCGAAGCCAAAAGCAGTTGTCTTTTCAGTCATAATCACTTGCATTTATGGCAGCAAAACACTGTTCTTATCTCAACTTGGTTTTCAATACTTTCGACCATTTTTTTGAGAAAGACATTGGTGTAATGAGCTGCTATGAGTTTCGGCAAGGTCATCTGTCAAGGTCATCTGTCATATAAACATTTCCTGTGACCTAAAATACAATCTAAATTCTATCTGTTTCTGTTCCCAAGTTGATATATGTTTGACTCTGTGTTAGTTAACTAACCTGGTGTAAGGGACATACTAATGTGACCAAGTAGCTACATTGACTATATAGTAAGTACACAGTGTACAGGTGTTATTGCTCTCTCTAACACGTGATGTATTTCCACTAACATCTACAGTGTGTAGGTCACTGGTAAACACTTGTGTTGCACACCTCAGTAATATAGGGGCCTTCTGTGTAAAACTTGGGTCCTTGTGCTACACAGTTTGATAGCCAATAAACTGTCTTCACAAAGCTGTGTTTCTGTTCAGTTATTCAAGATGTAAGATCATCAAATGGAGGGAAGAGTTTACAGTACAGATGGAATGGTATATCATGCAGACAGACTACCACAGTGTATCTCATTAGACGTGGAATATTTATAGACATAATATATCTGATACAAGTGCAAGATGTTACAGATGTTTAATAAGACTGAGTGAGTATAGTTTTACCACACTTTTAACAATATTTTAGCAATATCACAGCAGGGGACACCAGAAATGAGCTGTACACATTGTACCCATGTGGGGAATCGAACCCGGGTCTTCGGCATGGCGAGCGAACTCTTTGACTACCTGGCTACCCCACCGCCCTTGTTAAATAAGAGGAGCAACCTAAAGATAAAGGATGTCAAGTGCATCCATAGAACAAATACACAACCTGGCAGCACAATTATACAGGCATCATATTGGTTAGTTATTCTGTTGGCCACCATACTGTCAGAAAGTATCTCCAACTGAAAGGGGCTAACAGTAATCCATTGTGTAAACTGGTTGGATGATGCTGTTTCCTTTGTAACTAACAAGAGGTGGACAGGGTTCATGGGAGAGAAACTCTTAATGATTCAATATCTGCGACTCACCACAGAACACAGTAGCCAGTACAGTAGGCATCATTCAGGAATGAACTGAGCAAGGTTCCAGGATACTTCTGAAAACCTGAGCAGAAACACTCAAGTTCTCAATCTCCAAAGAGAATTTGTCATTTTGAAGAAGACCCAGCAGGTTTTGTTTGAGACATTAACCATGAATGTGTTTTGAGTTCACCATTATCAGCCTGAGACTTAATGGCAAGGTTTCAGGTTTCTATCATTTCAAAGGAATCCTGGGCCCTGTTTCACACAGCTCTCGTAAGCCTAAGATCTCGTAACTTTTCTTGTAGCATTCGTACCTCCTATACTGTAACATTGACTTACGACAGTCGTAGCACTACGAGAGATTTTGTGAAACGGGGCCCTGGTGAACAGACTCATGAAAGGTCCGACCATTAATGGACATGAGAATATCAAGGCTTATCTTTGTTGAAAACATACTGCATGTGTGCTGTCCCACCAGGACAAGACACATGCCAAACATCTGGTTCCACCATTGCTGCATTACATGACTTTGATCTTGTTGCTCTTCCTCTGAATCAGCCAGATCTGGCACCATCAGATACCCATTATACCCAAACTTGAAGTGAGACCTGAGTGGCAAGCATTACGGAAATGATGATGTTGTTTCCACTGTGGAGGACATTCTACACCACAAGGAGGAAAGCGTCTACAACTAGTGGAGTTCAGTCATGCCAGGATCATTGGTAGATGTGAGTGGATTCCCCCAGGGGTTTCAACATGGGATACCTCCAACAACATGGGACACCACCATTCAAAGGATACCTCCTACAATATGGGACACCTCCATTCAAAGGATACCTTCTACAATATGGGACACCTCCATTCAAAGGATACCTCCTACAACATGGGACACCTCCATTCAAAGGATACCTCCTACAACATGGGACACCTCCATTCAAAGGATACCTCCTACAACATGGGACACCGCCATTTAAAGGATACCTCCTTCAACATGGGATACCTCCAACAACATGGGACACCTCCATTCAAAGTATACCTCTTACAATATGGGACACCTCCATTCAAAGGATACCTCCTACAACATGGGACACCGCCATTCAAAGGATACCTCCTACAACATGGGTCACCACCATTCAAAGGATACCTCCTTCAACATGGGACACCTCCATTCAAAGTATACCTCTTACAATATGGGACACCTCCATTCAAAGGATACCTCCTACAACATGGGACACCACCATTCAAAGGATACCTCCTACAACATGGGACATCGCCTGTCAAAGGATACATCCTACAACATGGGACACCTCCATTCAAAGGATACCTCCTACAATATGGGACACCGCCATTCAAAGGATATCTCCTACAACATGGGACACCTCCATTCAAAGGATACCTCCAACAATATGGGACACTGCCCTTCAAAGGATACCTCCTACAACATGGGACACCGCCATTCAAAGGATACCTCCTACAATATGGGACACATCCTTCAAAACAGGATGTTTCCTACAACATGGGACTCCGCCATTCAATGGATACCTCCTAAAACATGGGACACCTGCATTCAAAGGATACCTCCTACAATATTGGACACCTCCATTCAAAGGATACCTCCGACAACATGGGACACCGCCATTCAAAGGATACGTCCTACAATATGTTATTTCCATTTTACACATGGAACACATTCAATTCCTCATTTTACACATGGACCTCCTGGACACATTCAATTCCTCATTTTACACATGGAACACATTCAATTCCTCATTTTACACATGGAACACCTTGACACATTCAATTCCTCATTTTACACATGGAACAGCTTATCACATTCAATTCCTCATTTTACACATGGAAAACCTTGACACATTCAATTCCTCATTTTACACATAGAACACCTCATCACATTCAATTCCTCATTTTACACATGGAACACCTTGACACATTCAATTCCTCATTTTACACATGGAAAACCTTGACACATTCAATTCCTCATTTTACACATGGAACACCTGGACACATTCAAGTCCTCATTTTACACATGGAACACCTCATCACATTCAATTCCTCATTTTACACATGGAACACCTTGACACATTCAATTCCTCATTTTACACATGGAACACCTTGACACATTCAATTCCTCATTTTACACATGGAACACCTTGACACATTCAATTCCTCATTTTACACATGGAACACCTGGACACATTAAATTCCTCATTTTACACATGGAACACATTCAATTCCTCATTTTACACATGGAACACCTGGACACATTCAATTCCTCATTTTACACATGGAACACATTCAATTCCTCATTTTACACATGGAAAACCTTGACACATTCAATTCCTCATTTTACACATGGAACACATTCAATTCCTCATTTTACACATGGAACACCTTGACACATTCAATTCCTCATTTTACACATGGGACACATTCAATTCCTCATTTTACACATGGAACACCTTGACACATTCAATTCCTCATTTTACACATGGAACACCTTGACACATTCAATTCCTCATTTTACACATGGAACACATTCAATTCCTCATTTTACATATGGAACACCTTGACACATTCATTCAATTCCTCATTTTACACATGGAACACATTCAATTCCTCATTTTACACATGGAACACCTTGACACATTCAATTCCTCATTTTACACATGGAACACATTCAATTCCTCATTTTACACATGGAACACCTTGACACATTCAAGTCCTCATTTTACACATGGAACACATTCAATTCCTCATTTTACACATGTGACACATTCAATTCCTCATTTTACACATGGAACACCTGGAACACATTCAATTCCTCATTTTACACATGGAACACATTCAATTCCTCATTTTACACATGGAACACCTTGACACATTAAATTCCTCATTTTACACATGGAACACATTCAATTCCTCATTTTACATATGGAACACCTGGACACGTTCAATTCATTTTACACATGGAACACATTCAATTCCTCATTTTACACATGGAACACCTTGACACATTCAATTCCTCATTTCACACATGGAACACATTCAATTCCTCATTTTACACATGGAACACCTGGACACATTCAATTCCTCATTTTACTCATGGAACACATTCAATTCCTCATTTTACACATGGAACACATTCAATTTCTCATTTTACACCTGGAACACCTGGACACATTCAATTCCTCATTTTACACATGGAACACCTCATCACATTGCCGTCCATGAAGAAAGGTCTTGTGTCTAGAGGGATAGTAATCGAAGAGTTGTTCAACACGGTCTTCGATGTTAGTGATGTACCCGTCTCCATTCAGATTTTGTCTGATTGTCACAAGGTCAAGTTTTCAGTCATGTGAAATCCACCCCGACAACTTTAATGAGCCCTCGTCAAACGGCACTTGCTCCAAATTATTCCGTTGTGCATAGGCAGTGTTTCTAGGACACCGAACAACAAGCTCGACCAGCATCAACAAAAGAAATCGACTTTCGTGCGACCAGTTGACTCTTCCCCAAGTTGTCAACTTCCAGTGACATCGAGCTTGAGACCAAGCAAATCGTGCCGCTTTGTGTTCTGTATGTAACAACGGACGTCTGATTGGTTGTCTGGGTGTATACCCGTCCCATTCTAATCAACTTCGGACCCTTCCGTTGGAACACTACTATGTGGAAGCCGTTCTGTTTTTAACACGCCACTGAACGGATGAGTGATTGAGTTTCGTTTTACGCCGCACTCAGCAATATTCCAGCTAGATGGCGGCAGTCTGTAAATAGACGAGTCTGGACCAGACAATCCAATGATCAACAGCATAAGCATCGATCAGCGAAATTGGGAACCGATGACATGTGTCAACCAAGTCAGCTAGCCTGACCACCGCTGGAAGGATGATATATGAAGTCTTGTGAACCGGAGCACCGCTGCATACACTCTAGTTTTCCTTAACGTCATTGGCTTGCTGATGTTTTCTGGCTAATCGTCTGATTGTACATGGATGAACAGTCCTCAATGACATGTCAGCATTCTGCATACCGATAATTTGCCATTTTGTTTTTACTGCAACGTGATATTTGCTTAATGACGGGTATATGTCGCCCTTGATCGTAGCATATCTAAAAATCAATGTAGATTGAAGCGTCTAACTGACTGACTGACTGAATTTGGGTTTACGCCGCTTTAAGCAATATTCCAGCAACATCACGGCGAGGGACACCAGAAATGGGTTTCACTAATTGTAACCATGTGGAGATTCAAACCCGGGTCTTCGGCGTGACGAGCCAACGCTTTAACCACTAGGCTACCCCACCGCCCCGAAGCGTCTAACTAATCATACAGGCAATTATATAAAAATTATATATATTATATATATAATTATGACAG